TATCATTTTGTTCAACTTGTATCCCCCCCTTAAAATAGTTAAACTAGTTAAAAGATGCGTTACAGGGTATGAACTCACCTGATGTGGGTGATTCAAACGGGTATGCATCTAAGGATGAGAAGTTCCACGAATAAAGTCCCGAGAGACAATAAGTCCTAAATGACATATAAGGACACATATTGACATGATTATAGTGTTTATAAACAACTATATGAAAAGGAACACCTTCCGGGACTAGGAAACACCTTGATCAAGTGTTGGAATCACATGTGATTCATCAAAGGGAAGTGAAATGGCACTAAAAGGTGTTTACGGTTTTGTAACCATCACCTTTGGAGTTTACGGTCGTAAACCGATGATTTTACGGCCGTAAAATCATGCTTTCTTTACCATTTTGGGTTTTGAAGTCTTACAAGTCATTCTAAGCATTCCTACTTCATGTCTTAAGCTGTCAGAAGTGATTAGGGCAGCATTTCACTCATAAGTGGAGTTTACGGCCCATGGACCACTTCTCCATGTGTTTACTGTCGTAAACTCATGGTAAGAAGTACCATTTTTATATTGAAGTCCTTAGATCAATGGTGTAAGGTCCTAGGCTACTATCTAAGGCTTAATAAGGTGTTTAGGGCATCAAAACACACTTTGGGGGTGTTTACGGTTTTGGGAGATTCCCAAACCGTAAACCTATATTAATGGGGATTTTTGGTGTTTTTCATGTGCTATACTCATCAAGGGAAGGTTCTAGGTTAGTTTCCAAGGCTTGTAATGATATATGGCACACTTTGGCACCATTTTTAGGGTTTACGGTCCAAGAACATCTTGGACTGTAAACACATTTGATCTTGGCTTTCTTGGGTGATTTCTTGATGTTTAGAAGTGTAACAAGTCTTATAATACTCTAGGATATAAGTACTTACTAGTTAGAAGCTTGAAAAGGTGCTAAAAGTCCAAGAACACTAGTGTGTGTTCTTGGTGTTCTTGGTGAACTTGAAGATCTACACTTTTGGAATAATTTCACGGATGAAAGTGTGTTAGATCACTAGATTAAGGTGGATATCAACTAATTAGGGCTAGAAACACTTACAAGTTGAAGATCAAGAAGGAAAATTCGGATGCTACTTGAGAGGATTTGAGTTTGGATCTTGAAATTGTGAAAAATTGATAAAAATAACTAAGTCTTACTTATATAGTCATTAGAGTTTATGGCCCTAGTACCATTTGGGTCGTAAACTCCAAACTCTTGCGGGTTTTTGGAACCTAATTGATGTAAAATAAACACTAGGGCATCCTTTCTCCAGTTATCTCTTGAAGTACTAGCTTTAAACCACTCAAACTTATTCCAAGAAGCTTGAAAGTTAGTAGAAACAGTTTTGATTTCAATTGAGGTGGATGGTTGTACATAATAGAAATTTTGGGTTGTCACATTGTTTGAGCAGGAGATCAAGATGGGGTTCACATTTCAACACACTCACAAGTTTAATAAAGTTGTTTGCGGATGTTCTTGTAGTTTTAGAATTTGTGAAAGTGGATGGAGGGTCATTGGCAAATTCTCAACAAGCGTCTGGAATCTTAGCATATTTTAAATCTTATGAGTACGTTTTTTTAATTATATATGATTTATGACATTTTTACGGCGAATGGGTATATTATTAAAACCACTTCAAAAAAAATATCCAAACATTTTAGAAGCAGCTTTTATGGTTAGTGGGGCAATGGACCCATTGCAATGTTTAAGAGGCAGAGGGTTTGAAAGCATTTTACCCAAGGTATCCTCTTTTTGTCAAACGCACAATATTGCTACTTTAGAATTGGAGGATTTTTATGTTGGTGCGAGAAACCGTACGATCATAAAGACAAATAGATTTCATTTTGAGGTTGAAATCTTCAACACTGTTGTGGATATGCAACTTACATAATATCATGATTGATTTAGTGAAACAAGCACCCAGTTACTAGAAATACATGGGTGCTTTGAGCCCTTGTGATTCATTTAAACAATTTGGCAAATCAAAGTTGTTGAAGTTGGCGAAGTAGTACAAGTATGACTTTGATGATTCGGATTTGATAGATCTTGGAGGGCAACTCGAGATATTTTTCACTCTTGCATCAAAGATGAGCGTTTTACCACTTTGAAAGGAATTTCCGAGCTTTCTCGTTTGGTGGTTAGTACGGGGAAATATTGGTCTTATCCCTTGCTTTATAAGCTTTTGAAGTTGGTTTTAATTTTTCCGGTAGCGACTGCAAGTGTAGAAAGATGTTTTTCAAAGATGAAGCTCTTGAAGACCGACTTGCGCAACAAAATGTGTGATGGCTTTTTAAACGACGCCTTACATTGAAATGTTGAGACCGAAACACTTGTGAAAGTTGAGAATGAAAAGTAATGGAGCGGTTTCAAAAGATGTATGTACAAAGAGGACAAATTTAAATTGTAGTAGATAGTTATGTTTTTAACTTTTTATGTAATGAATCCTTTTTGCTTATTAGACGTAATGAAATTTTTTTTTTAGTTTTAAATTATGTTTGACCGGAATATTTATTTGGCAACCCCTACTATCAATTCTTGCATCCTCCCCTAGTACAAACTATGTTTTTTTATCTTCTTTATCTCAAAATTCTTATCTCGAGAAGCACTATGATTCTATTTTTGGAGTCTTTATCCAAAGGTCAACCGTTCTCTTCACTGCTTTTTCTCGTTGTAACTTCTTACGTGCCACTAATTTTTTATATTTTTACAATAATCACATCTAATTCATACGAAGTTAGATTTTCACAAAATTTATATTTTTGGAGATTGGTGGGCATGTACTTTCAAAATATATCGGATTAACTTTTTGTGCACTTATTTTTAAATTTTCCATCTACTTGGACTGATTTTCCATATGGGTTAGATTTCAAAATCCTGCATTTTGCAAACTATCGCTTTCTAAGTCTTTTGTACTTGATGCAATTAGCGATTTGGGTTCTATTTTTGCAATTGTCAAATTCTCCCCCCGTTTAAAGAATTTTGTCTTGAAATTCAAATCGTAGTTCTTTCCACTAGGATGTTGGCTAGGGGAGGGTGATTCTTAACTTTTTCTTGATTCTCTCATGCTATTTCTTCTAGGTTAAAACAACTTGTTCTTTACTAGTCACGTCTCTCTTTGGTGCTTGGTTTTATTGATTCTTTTTCTAATTCTATGACTTTATTGGAAGATACGAAGTAAGTGGTATTAGCCTTTGTTATTTCTTTGAGTTACATTGGTGAACTATAATTACTATAGTTTTCTTTTCATTAATATTTTACAACATCTGGAAACCTAAGCTTATTTTATTATATTATCATTTTGAGTCATTTTTATGGACAAATTCCTATGATTTGATCTCTTATTTCAAATATTAGTTTCTTATTATTGCCTCCATTTTGAGGATTTTCATTTCATGGAGAATTTACGTGTAGAGATATTTAAGATGAAGATAGATGGGTACATCAAACATCCTAACCATTCTTTGATTATCCAACTACAAGGATTGCAAATACTTTTATTTAATGACATAGTTAATACATGGATTGTTTTCATAGAATGCTCTAGTCTTCATAGCGCCTTCTGGATTACACACATTAAGCAATTCCTGAATACTCTTATTCGAGTAATTTTTCTTTTCATCCTTATCTATTCTTATCTTAGTGCTTGCCCCTCTTCGGCAATCATGATCCTTATGTATGATTCGGTTACAGTGGTGACATACCTTTTCTCTATATATACCTTGATGGTGATAATATCATTGGTTACACTTGGGAAGACTCCCTAAGTATCCCCTTGAGGGGAGACTGGCCTGTCTTGGGATTTCTTGATGTCTCATCTCTCCTATGAGGATCGTTGGACTTTCCGTTGGAATCTTCTTCTCATTTCTTCTTGTAGCTCTTAACTTTTTCTTCATTAACCTTTAGGCTTTTTTACCCTTTTTTGCTTTCTATTAGGTTGAATGCTAGTTACTTGGCACTTTTGTAGTTATCAGATTTGGCTGTGACTATCATCTTTTGAATTTTGGTAATTGGTCCCTTGACATATGCTTCGATCTTCTTGCTCTTTGGACCGATCACTGATGGACATATGACGGCCACATCTTCAAAGCGCATGGTATATGCTTCTTCGTCTGATTTCTTCGTAGTCAGATAACCGAGACCTCGCTCCATTCTTACACACTGTGTCCTATTTATAGCATAATCCTTTTATCAACTACTATTTCAATTCTTCCCATGAAATTTCATAGGCTTCATCTACGCCTATTTTTTTTACTTGGGTATTCCACCAGATAAGGGTCACACCAATAAATGTACAAGTATAAAGTTAAGCCAAAACTCCTTAGCACATTTGTGGGTTTCTAGGTCTGATTCCATCTCTTTTATCCAATTGGCTAGACCATTTATTCCTTCATCTCCACTGAAGGATCTTGGATTCTTTCACATGTTTTTTATTCCCTTCTCCTTCATAGATACCTAAGGAATCAAAGATTTGTTGGTCTATCATCGTCTGGATGGTGGCAGAATCTACTAGTCCTAGCCTTTACCTTATCATGTCTTCCTCCTATAATGGTGGGTATGTGATTATTACTTCGTAAATTTTGATTGACATAATCTATTGGAAACCTTGCAAGAAATTGTATAGTTCCTATATATTTGATCGTTAAGGTTATGCCACATTAATTATTAAGATGTTCTTCGTGCTCTCTTACTTCAGAGGTAGATTGCTTTTACCTAACTAATTTCCTAGCAACCCAACGTCTTGTAGACTTTTCTATCTCCTAAGATGTTTAGATGATTTTTCTTAAATTCCTTCTGTTTTTTTTTAAATGAAATTTCTGTTTAAATAAGGGAACCCTTTATGTGAGCGAAGTTGCATCATTCTTTCCTTACTTCATGACTTCTGACATATCGGTGTTCTATCTAGTTAAATGTAGGTTGTTTTAATATAAATTTTGCTCTTTAGGAGGTAAAAGGAGATAGGTGAAATAAATCAGGGATGAATAGTGTAATTACTCGAAAAAATAAAGGGTTGTGTGTCATACGTGGAGGGTGTGTCGTATGTACTCCTGGAAGATACGTTTATCTTTATTCGACACCACGTGCTCCTGAAGTCGTTGTCTTCTTCCTCCCACCGGTCGATACACTCGACTATTCCCCACACGCGAAGAGCATACCGCGTGTTTGGCCTTTTAGAGCGTTGATTCTCTATTTTCCTACTCCTAAGGTACTCTTTACTATTAATCCTAACACCTTTAGTTGGGATGATTCATGTCTTTTCGAGTTTTTGAGGGTTTTAGGGTTTTATCAATTTTGTTTGTAATACAAAAAATTTACTAGTTAAAAATTTGTATAAAAATTGATTAGCAAAACCTTATGAAAGATTTCTCTTAAAATTAGTTAATGTAACCTCAATTTGAGGTTTTTGGTTTTTGGGCAAAATTTTATGGTTACACTTAAATCCGCCATTTGTTGTGATTTTGGATGAAATGATAGTGTATTCTGGTTCCCTAAGCCTTGATTATTGAACCTATATGAATTTAAGTTGAACTTTAGATGAATTTGGTGATTTGGAGTTAGCTGCTCATCGTGTTCTTAGTGCATGCCGCACACATGAATTTACGTGAGGCGCATCTACAAACTACGTGCATCGCATTTCTTGGCGTGCGTTTGACTCGTTTTGACTATTCGAAGCCGGTTATTCACTTTAACGTTAACACTAATTGGTTTTTTATTTTTCTTAGATTTTATGATGTCTTGGGGTAGGTAGACATCGTTAGTTGCCATGCAACCGACCTTCAGACCCATTTCTAAAGTTTTAGGACATCATTCCAGTTGAGGACTGGAATTCCTTCATTTCCCATATGTTTTCCCTTCTATACAAGAATATTTGTATACTCCAGGCTGTCAGTGGGGGATTGCATACATGTTAGGTTTGACAGCTCGTCTGGTGTCGTACCTTGCTAGGGTACTTTGTAATGATGTCAGTCTCGAGCTTTTCACATGCGAGGAGTGGCATTGTATCTTTAGGATACGAGAGGTTATTTATCAGGAGCTATGTTGGGACTTTTTCTCTACCGTTCAGTTCGACACGAAGTAGAGACTTTATGTCGATTGATCGGTTCTTACCTTTAATTTGGGCGGGGTATCTCGCTCTTGTTGTATCGTGGAGCTAAGAAAACGTTTGTGTATTTATACTGGTGTGGAGGTAGCCAGTCGTTACTTCCTATCTTATATTGATAGCTATATCACTTCACCACCACAAGAGTACACTCATATGCAAGTCTGGGCTCTTGTCAGGGGCACTTACGTGGCTAGATTAGCCAAGAAGAGTACATTCAGATATCCTACTATGAGACTGATTGATCGATTGATCGCTTTGACCGTTCGTCATTATGGGGAGTGTAACAAGGTACTTGCAGGTGATGTATATCTCAAGTGGTGTCTGATTCCTACTGAGTTTCACCTTAACCTGCCTTTTATCCTTGCTTTTTATCTATCTAGCCTAGCGACATGTCCTTACCGAAGAGAAAGGTTTGTGGAGGTCATTACATCAGTTGTCTTGCAAGTTCTTACGGTGTAGATACTAGTGGGATGGTTCTATATCCTATCAAAGATATTGATGAGAGAGCTCTGATAAAGATACGAGCGGTCATACAAGGAGCTAATGATCTCCTGAGGATTCCTCCGAATGACATAGTGGTACCTCTTCGCCAGGTGGAGCTTGAGCTTGATCCTTCACTACATACGCAGTACAGGGCTAGGCATGCACCATCGGCTGCTCAACGGGGCCTGAGCTTGAGATTGATATACGTTACTTGGCTCAATGTATATATGATCTACAATGTACCATTATTGGATCACGACGTCTATTACTAGTGTGATGGATCATCTATGGATCGACCATCCACCCTTTCCACAGAAGAGCGATGTAGTTTTTACCTCTGGGACACAACATGCCGATGATGATGATGATGGTGATGATGGTGATGATGATGATGAAGATAATGATGATGATGATGATGACGACGATGGTGATGAGGAGGAGGAGAACAAGAAGGAGGAGTAGAGTGATTAGGAGGAGGGTGATGATGATGATGATAATGATACTATGGGAGGTTTGTAGGTGATGTATTTGTGTTTGTATATTTTGGATACACTTTGTGGTCTTTTGTTTTTGTCGTACTTATTACTACTTTTGGATATTATTATGGTTTATGTTTTTGTAATTCTTATCTTTGTTAATCTGATACTTTTTGTTTTTATTTGTGCATTGAGCTAAACCAAAACTTGTACATAGGTAATCAGTCTATGTCATGTTGTGGATTGACCCATGTAATGATCATCTAGGTACGAAGTTTCGAAGGACAGGACCATTTTAGCGTATGGTCGTTCTGAAATCGAACAACTCAAAGCGATAGTTCCATTTTACCCACCTTTCCTGTAATTAGTCTATTGGTAGTGTAATTAACAATAATACATTTATTAATATGATTGAGAAAAACCCTATCAGAGTATCTACCCTCGGCCGTCGGTGGAAACGCTGAGTTGTGCAACGTTTGTTGGATATCGTAAGCGTAAGATATAAAGCCAACATAATATTTATTTGAACAATGATTACATTGAATATTTTACATGTCATGTGCTATCTACTTTCTTGCATCTTGTACTCCCTTGGAATGATCTTCTCCTTTTACGACTCCCTAAGAATACATGTGATTTTGAAAACGGTCAACGTAATGTTTGAGTTCACATGTTTTATGGTTATTGGAAATAGTCTTTGTAAAAGTTTTCAATATTAGATCTTTGTTTATGATTATGTAT